TAAATACTCAACTTTTTTTTTTTTTAGAAATTTATTCTAGTAGGCTAGCAAATGCTTCATTCCTTAATAGTTTTGTACACACTAAAACTGTGGCATCTAAAATAAAGATATACCATAGCTTTATTCTGAGCAGAGTGCAAACGAAAATTACTAACTCTGGCTTGCTGTGCAATTTTGTTTGCCACTTATCCTGCTGGGTTGTCTGTATGAGTTAGGGACATTGTGAAAACACATCTGCATAAATATATTACTCTGAAATGAAATGATGAAACAAAACGACTGATTTTAATAAACTAAGGAACACTCCCCTCTCCACACGATCTTGAAACAGTGCAGCTGAAGACCAGAACATTCCCAGCATGACGTCCTCCGTATGCAGAGTGAGAGCCCGGCCCTCTGACCCAGCGGGCCTCTCGGTGCTCCCTGGTGAAGGCTGACCCGGCGGCATCCAGGAGGGCCGCAGAGCTCATGCTTCTCTGCACTGATGATGGCAAGACATTTCACAAGATGGTCATTGCCTGGGAAGAGATGGCATCCCTTTCCCCGGCTGCCCCATCTTCACTTTCCGTGCCAACAAAGCCCAGTGAAGAACAACACTCCCCCAAGACCACGAGCCTCCCCAGAAAGTTACAAGCGTTAAATCACTTATTTGCAAGTATATTTGTGGCTGATAAATGGAACAGACTTTCATTTGGACAAATGTCCATTTTCTCTTACTGATTTGAACCAGGATTTTTAAAGACAAAGCCCATCAAACATTAGATAAGCATTTTAAGTTAATGGACCGTGTAGTCCTATTTCCCCACAAACTAAGGAAGCATCATATTATGTCCTATTTTTACAGCAACATCAATTATTAATATGTATATTTTTGCTGACAGAGGACCTTGCTATAAATGTAGGTTTCGTTATCCCGTTCTGGGTCATTAACTGTGGAAAGCTTGTAAATATAATGGTTTATTCACATGGGAAGCCTTCATTAAGATGCATTATTCTACAGCTGATGTATTTCAATATATAGTGTGCTATCGTGTTCTCTATCTCCCTTTAATATTCGTAATTTATTTTTAAATGAGTTGCTGTTTATGTGGCGAGTTAACAAATTTGAATTCCATATGACCAAAGTTGCTAAAGAGGAAACAATGTTTTAGCCCAAAGGAAAAGCTGCTCATTAACGGAGGACCTAACTATGTTACAACCTTTAAATGCAAAAGCAACTAGAGAAAGAAGCTACAAATGACCCAAATGTATTTTTGTCGGAGAAAGTCTATATCAAAAACCACGCCTGAATACACACGTATTAACGGCACAGCGTGGTGCAGGAGGAGAAGCCGGGCCCAGAGCCGGAGACCTGCTCCACGGCTGCTCCAGTAACGGACAAAGACGGGAGTCGTTCAGTTCTGAACCTCCATTTCCTCATCTGCTCAATGGGAGAGTCGTGTCCTCCTGTCCACTTCAACAAACGGATGTGGACACCAACAAGGAACGCAGCCCAGGAGGAAGAGTGCACAGGCTGGTCACAGAAGCCTAGTGGGAGCTGAGGAGGACTCGCTCAGAGCTCGGGGACTGTTAGGAAGTGCACTGGCCTCCTCCCATACAGCTGCTGACTACACACGCTTCAGAGCCACCCACTACTTCATTCATGTTTAGGGATGAAAGGAGAAAAGGCCAAACTACAAAGGAAATCTATAAATACCAACAGGAACAATGTAACGGGGATAGTTCATTAAACGGTGGAGAATCAGCATTAATGCAAGACTTCAAAATGATTTCACACCCCCACGAGAGGCAAAGAAATTGGATCATTTGTTGCAGACATCCGTTCTGACTTCTTCATGAAAACAATTACCTTTAAAATTGCCATAGAAAGATTGATGTTTCTCTGTGCATTATGGACTTCTGTTTTTACATTTAAAATGAAATGAAAATAATTACCTGAAAAATATAAGAATTAGATTTTTTAATGATTAAATAAAGGAAATATTCTTTTTTAATTTTGACACAAAATACATAATATGAAGAAAAATTGTCTCTTGGAGTACCTGCGCAGTGAGTGAGCCTATTAGATCCTTCATTTAACTTTTTTCTTTCTTTCTTTTTTTTTTTTTTTAGAGACAGAATCTCACTTTGTCACCCTTGGTAAAGTACTGTGGCATCACAGCTCACAGCAACCTCCAGCTCTTGTGTTTCGGCGATCCTCTTGCCTCAGCCTCCCGAGTAGCTGGGACTACAGGTGCCCGCCACAACGTCTGGCTATTTTTTTGCTGCAGTTTGGCCAGGCTCGGTTCAAACCCGCCACCCACAGTATATGAGGCCAGCGCCCTATCCACTGAGCCACAGGCCCTGTCCTGTTTAACTCTTTTCTTTAAAATGATTCTGTACTTCTCATTCTATATTTACTTTTAATGTAATTGTAGAAGTTTTTGTTGCTATCATAAAAGCTGTACATTCTCATTTAATAAGAGTATTTTTAAGGTATTATATGTGCGATTTCTCTTGTTTTAACTCATTTTATGACATTAAATGGACACTGAATTCTATCACTGTGAAATCCTTCCAACTTCAGTTCATAGGTATTTCTTAGAGATTTTGTGTGTTTGTGTATACTTGTTGCATTTAACTATTTATTTAATCCATTCAAAATTTATTTTAATATATGACTTTAGTTGAATCTTTAAGATAATAATTCTTCCAAGTTGATTTGAATTTATAGTTTTGTTAATACCTTTTCTAAATAACATCTTGAATTCTATCATAGTCTTCTTTCACAGCTTTTGGAATGGACTTTAATGTTTTTCTCTTGTCATCAGAAGCTTCTTTACACTGTAGCTCCCAAGCTCCCTCGGCTTCATACACTTAGTTATTGCTGCAGCTTGGCATGATGACAACAGTCAAAGTAGCAACTGCAGGGAACATTCCTCCAGCACCGACTCAAGGCCAGGCCCTGTAGTAGGGCTGCGGAGACTGTTCTATTTAATCTACACAGCTAATGCTACTCCCAGACTAAAGGGGAGGAAACTCAGCCGCAGGAGATTAAGTGCTTTGCGCAAAATCACAAATGCGGCCAAGATTTAAACACAGACATTCTGCCCCCAAATCCTCGATCAGACAAATCAAGCTTTGTTTCCTGCCTTTTCCATTTGCCAGCTGTCTGAATTTGGAAAAGTTAATTAGCCTCGCTGGTTCCACTTCCTTATGTGGTAATACCTGCCTGGCTGGATAACTGAAGGGTGGAGAGATTTTTTTCTTTTTTCTTTTCTTCTTTTTTTTTTTTTTGAGACAGAGTCTCACTATGTCGCCCTCGGTAGAGTGCTGTGGCATACAGCTCACAGCAACCTCCAACTCTTGAGCTTAAGTGATTCTCTTGCCTCAGCCTCCCAAGTAGCTGGGAGAGAGATTTTTTTCTTTAGAGTGAGTGGTGTTCAGCAGAAGGTCAGGAAGTAATACTTGGATTTTCTTCTCTGATTCCTCTTTTAAACAGCTCCCCTGAGTATACCTTGGAAGTGAGAATCTGTATTTCATAAAGTCTCTAGAATTTCAAGGAAAAAGATAATTTGGAAAAAATTCCTCAATTGTGTATTCAGAAATATTTGAGGATACTTCATGTGTAAAAAAAAAAAAATCCCCATAGTGGCTATAAAATCAAAGGAGCAAATAAAAAATAAGAAAAAATGCTGAGAAAATAAAAAGCATGCCAATAAAAGTAAAACAATAACAGTAATCACCCCAAAATTCATATATAAATCCAAATAACAATTAGACATAACGAAAAGTCTAATTAGGTCTGAAAGATAAAATTAAAGACACTTCCTCTAACATGGTGCCAATAAACAAAGAAGAAGAGATGGAAAATATAAAAGAGTCATGAAAGATCAGTCTGGTGGTCTGGCATTTATCTAATGTTTGCCAGACAGAGAAATGGAGAAAAAGAAATAATAGAAGGGAAATTTACACAGTTGAACACATAATTCTTTGCAATGGATGGACCCACTAAAATAGAATATGAGTGAAGAAATGCCTACTCCTAGAAACATTTCAATGAGCTGTCTAGACACATTCTGATGAACTTTGAAAGCTCAAAGAGTAAGGCATCATAAGTACTTTCAGAGGGAAAAACATCTACAAAGGAACAGTGATTGAATGTGTAACAAGTTAGTCACTGTCAACTCCACATACTAGAAGTATTCTCCAAGGGAACTAACAAACTGCCATTAAGGTGGAAGGGCCAAATAAAGACATTTTTAGAAATGCAAATGATTAAAATATTTATGCCTGTACATATCCATTCTGAAAGTTACACTCAAGGATGTGCTTCAGCAAAATGAAAACAGAATACAGAAAAGAAAAAAAGTCAACAGAGAAACCAGGAAAACTTATAGTTAAATTAAAACAGTTGCTGATTTAAAAAATGAATCACAGTCTATGATTATAAAACAAGAGGTTGAGAGAAGAAAAGCAAACACATGCAGAGGTCCTAGATAACAATAAATTACAGAAAAAGACAGAAATATAGATTTTAACTAACATGTTAAAAATTTTAAGAATAACTGGTAGGAGATTAAAATAAGGGATATAATTTTCAAACTATTAAATGACAAGAATGAACAAAGCTAAGTCTATAAACCTAACAGAAAGCAGGAAAGGAAAAAGCAGTAAGAAAATGATAGAAAACTTAATATGACAAGGTTAGCCCCAAATATTTCTTCCATACAATGAATAAAATTTTTCTTTTCTATAATTCTCACAGTTTTTTAAAATCCATTTACATACATACTGTTGACAAGTGAGAAACCTTAACTATGTTCTTGCTGGGAAATTCAACACAAACATAAAGTGTTAGTCATGTCAGGGATTAGTAGTTAAATAGGTACAGAATGTACACCTTTGTAGTTCCTGTGTGCCTTTAGCAGGATACCACTGAAGATATTGACAAATTTGGTTAGTATAATATTTTTACCAGCTCTGTAGCATATATTAAGCCTTCTCATTTATATTTTCAGAAACCACCTCCCTTCTTTAATGAAGCCAGCAGTACAATAATCCAGGCTGAAAAGGTGACCCATCTGCGGAATGAGGTGCAGATGAAGCATGAAGAGGACTACAGGGAGGCTCTGGTCACCATCAAGGATGACCTGAAGCTAATAGAAGGTCCAGACATCAAGGAGACCCTTCAGGAGCAGATCAGGAACTGGTTCATCGAGTGCAGGTGCGCACAGGCTGCCTCATGGCCTATCCAGACAGTCTCTTCTGTAGTGCTTGAGCTCGCTGTATGTTTCCAAGCACAAAAGCATATTGACACAGTCATGAAGTTTCTTGGCTTCAATTTAGGAAAGTGAAATTTCAAAGCTAAGAATTCAGAGATTAATTTTTCAATGAAATTACTTTCTATCTTATTGTTTTAAAAACATGGAAATGTGGTCCACATAGTACTTCTATGACCACATGGAATGGAACATCATGGGTGGATGACAACCCCACAATAGTACAACTACACAGGCCAGGTCTGTCTGAAAGCCAGGGGATGCAGTAAGGACTTCCCCTTCTGGGGCCTGACTGGCTTCTCTATTTTTAAGAGGCTTGAGATTTTCAATCAGGCTCATCTGTATCATGATCTTTCAAGGCAGCTGCTGATTTCTGAGTCTTAACACCTGCCCCACCCCAGTCACCCTGAAGTGATGGTTATGGAGGAGTTCTGGGGACAAAGCTCCAGGCCTATCTTATATTAAGGGTCTTCCTTAGCACTTTTAAATGAAATGTTAAATTATTTAAAATTTGTTTACAAAAGATTTTAAAGATATTCTTTATTAGCACATTTTTCCAGACAGCAAAACAAATACTTGGTGAGTGAGCTAATTAATTAGAGCAGTTTTTAAATACATTTTATTCCAAGAGAGGAAGAAAAGAGAGAAGAATGTTGTGAGAAGTCCAAGAACTATGGGAGGCAGACTAGGCCATCTGTTGTCTTGATTGAGTTTTGTGCCGTATCATATCAGGTACCAAGATGCTCAGACACCATGTCTGGTTAGCCCATCAGAACCAGAGAATTTAATTGTTGGCAATAGAAAAATCAAACTTTCTCTCGGAAAATTCTATTATGTTTTCTATCTGAGGCAAGCAGCCCCTAAGCTGGCCTCCAGTGATCTCTATCCCCCCACCGATGGTGATCTGACCCTGGTAATTCACTCCTAAAGCAAAGGGCATGGAAAACGTGATGGGATAATCATCACCTCTCCTGCTCTCTTGTGCACTTTCTCCCTCTGGCTCAGAGGAATCAGCTGCCACAGAGTTGGCTGCCCAGCAGGAGTGAGGGAGCTCCCTGGGCAACCCCCAGCAAGGCACTGAGAACTAAATCCTGCCACAACCACATGTGTTGATTTGGAGGACAATCCTCCCCCAGGCAAGCCATCAGATGAGACCACAGTCCCACCAGCACTTTGATACAGCCTTGTGAGTGACCTTGAGTCAGAGGTACCAGCTGAGCTGCATCTAGCCACAAGGCTTGGGGTAAATTGCTGTGCAAATAGTAGACATTTCATATATATCAATAACTTTTAGAATGATTAAGAAAAATCTAGACTATTAACAAACTTCTCTTGTGGTAACTTTCTGTGGGCTTTTTTTTTCTTATTAAATCATGAACACATAGATCATTAATACATTAATGTATTTGTGAGGTACAGTGTACTGATTTCATATAGAATTAGGAATGCTTATGTCACACTAGTTAATATATACCTCATCTCATTTACTTAATTCCTGTGTCAAGACATTTGTACTCTATTCTAACAGATCCAACACATACTCTTGCATTATGCACCATAGGTGTGATCCCACCATTCACCCTTCCTTGATCTGACCTCCCTCCTTTCCTCACATCCCCCCTCCTCCCTCCTTCATTTTGGGCCATAGTTGTGATCTATTCTTCATATGAAAGTGTGAGTGATTGTAAATTGGTTTCGTAATAGTACTGAGTACATCGAATATTTTTTCTTCCATTCTTGAGATACTTTACTAAGTAGGATATGTTCCAGCTCCATCCATGTAAACGTAAAAGAGGTAAAGTCTTTTTTAAGGCTGTATAATATTCCATGGTATACATATACCACAGTTTATTAATCCATTCATGGGTCTTTGGGCACTTGGGCTTCTTCCATGCCTTGGCTATTATGAATTGAGCTGCAATGAACAATCTGGTGCAAATATCTTTGTTATAAAGTGATTTTTGGTCTTTTGGATATACACCTAGCAGAGGAATTGCAGGATCAAACAGCAGGTCTACTTTTAGATCCCTGAGTATACTTCTTTCCAAAAGGGATGTATTAGCTTACACTCCCACCAGCAGTGCAGATGTGTTTCCTTTTCTCCACATCCATGCCAACATCTGTAGTTTGGGGATTTTGTTATGTGAGTGACTCTTACAAGAGTTAGATGATATCTCAAAGTAGTTCAGATTTGCATTTCTCTGATGATTAAAGATGATGACCATTTTTTCATGTCTGTAGGCCATGCGCCTATCATCTTCAGAGAAACTTCTGTTCAAGTCCCTTGCCCACAATGAAATGGGATTACTTATTCTTTTCTTATTAATAAGTTTGAGTTCTCTGTGTATTATCAAACCTTTGTCAGAAGCATAACCTGCATATATCCTCTCCCATTCTGAAGGCTGTCTGCTTACTTTACTTACTGTGTTCTTGGCTGTGCCGAAGTTTTTTAGTCTGATCAGATCCCAGTAATGTATTTTTGGTGTTGCTTCAGTTGCTCAGGGGGTCCTCCTCATAAAGTATTCTCCCAGGCCAATTTCTTTAAGTGTTTCTCCTGCACACTCTCTAAGAATCTTTATAGTTTCATGTTTTAAGTTTAAATCTTTTATCCAGTGAGAGTCAATTTTTGTTAATGGTGAAAGGTGTTGGTCTAGTTTTAGTCTTCTACAAGTTGCCAGCCAATTCTCCTAGCACGATTTGTTAAATAGGGAATCTTTCCTCCAATTTATATTTTTGATAGGCTTATCAAAGATCAAATGATGATAAGTGTCTGGGTTCATCTCTTGTTTCTCAATTCTGTTTCATACATCTACTTCTCTCTTTCGTGCCAATACCATGCTGTTTGGATTACTATAGATTTATAGTATAGTTTGAAGTCTGGTAGCATGATTCCTCCTGATTTGTTCTTATTTCTGAGTAATATCTTGGCTAGTTGAGCTTTTTTCTGGTTCCATATAAAACTAAGTACTATTTTTTCCAGATCTTTAAAGTATGACAGTGGTGCTTTGATAGGGATTGCATTAAATTTGTAAATTGCTTTGGGTAATATGGACATTTTAACAATGTTTATTCTTCCCAGCCATGAGCATGGTATGTTTTTCCATTTGTTAACATATTCAGCTATTGCTTTTCTCAGAGTTTCATAATTCTGAAGTTTCATAATTTATTGAGATCTTTCAAGTCCTTTGTTAGGTAAATTCCCAAATATTTCATCTTCTTTGGCACAACTGTAAAGGGAATAGAGTCCTTGATTGTTTTTTCAGCTTGACTATTATTGGTATATATAAAAGCTACTAATTTGTGAGCATTGATTTTTGTATCCTGAGATGCTACTGTATTCCTTAATCACTTCTTAGAGTTTTGTAGTTGAATCCCTGGGGTTTTCCAGGTATAAAATCATATCATCTGTGAAGAGTGAAAGTTTGATCTCTTCTGACCCTATTTGGATACCTTTGATTCAAATGATGGCGATGGCTAAAACTTCCATTACAGTGTTAAAAAGCAGTGGAACAATGGGCAACCTTGCCTGGTTCCTCATCTCAGTGAAATTTTTTCAGTTTTACTCCATTCAATATGATATTGGCTGTGGGTTTGCTATAGATGGCCTCTATCAGTTTAAGAAAAGTCCCTTCTATACCTATTTTCTTAAGTGTTCTTATCATGAAAAGATGCTGGATATTGTCAAAAGCTTTTTCTGCATCTATTGAGAGAATCATATGGTCTTTGTTTTTTAGTTTGTTTATGTGATATATTATAATTGTAGATTTACTTATATTGAACCATCCTTGAGACCTTGAGATAAAACGCACTTTGTCATGGTGTATAATTCATTTGATATGTTGCTGGATTCTGTTTGCTAGGATCTTATTGAATATTTTTGCATCTATGTTCATTAAAGATATTGGTCTATAGTTTTCTTTTCATGTTGGGTCTTTTCTGGTTTGGAGATCAGGGTGATATTGCTTCATAGAATGTGTTCAAAAGTATTCCTTTTTTTTCTATGTTTTGGAAAAGGTTAAGTAATATAGGTACTAGTACCTCTTTAAAGGTTTGGTAGAATTCTGATGTGAAGCCATCTGTTCCCGACTCTTCTTTTTTTGGGAGATTTTGTATAGTTTATTCTATTTCAGTACTTGATATAGGTCTGTTTAGCATTTCCAGTTCTTTCTTATTAACTCTAGGAAGTTTGTGTGCTTCCAAGTATTGGTCAATTTCTTTCAGATTTTCATATTTCTGAGAATAAAGTTTTTTGTAGTATTCATTAAGGATTTTTTGAATTTCTGAGGTGTCTGTTGTTATTTCACCTTTGTCATTTCTGATTGATGATACTATGGACTTTAATTTTCTATTTTCAGTTAGGTTGGCCAAAGGTTTATCAATTTTGCTGAATTTTTCAAAAAACCAATTTTATGATTCATTGACCTTTGGAATAATTCTTTTGTTTTCAATTTCATTTAATTCTGCTCTAATTTTAGTTATTTCTTTTCTTCTGCTGGGTTTGGGGTTGGAATGTTCTTCCTTTTCTAGTTGCTTAAGATGTCCCATTAAGTTATTAACTTCCTCTCTTTCCGTTCTCTTGAGGAAGGCTTGCAATGCTATAAATTTCCCTCTTAGGACTGCCTTTGCAGTATCCCACAGGTTCTGATAATTTGTGTCTTCATTATTGTTTTGTTCCAAAAATTTGGCAGTTTTCTTCTTAATCTCATCTATGACCCAGCTATCATTCAACATAAGGTTATTTAGTTTCCATGTCTTTGTATAGGTATGCAGATACCTGTTATTGGTGAGTTCAACTTTTATTGCATGATGATCTGAGAAAATACAAGGAACAATTTCTATACTTTTAAATTTTCTGAGGTTAGACTTGTGACCTAAGATGTGATGAATTTTGGAGGCTGTTCCATGGGCTGATGAGAAAAATGTATATTCAGTTTTGTTAGGATGA